AGTGATTGAAACGCACAATCACTTATTTTTCGAATGCAATTACTCAAGTAGTATTTGGGAGGTCATTAAAAAGGAAGTAGGGTTAATGAACTGTTTGAACAATTGGGAGGATATTCTTAACAGGGATTTAGCTCAACGATGGAAATCTTGGTCTACTGTTCAAAAGCTTGGTATATCGGCCACGGTTTACCACATATGGAGGGAAAGAAACAGGAAGTTCTTTGATAACTTCAATCATACAGGGGATAAAGTTGTTGCGGAGATCAAGATGCAGATTCTTCAACGTATGGCTTGGAAGACTAGGAAGAAGCAGATGATTACTAATGCTATGTGATTTTGTGGGTGGTGTGGTGTTTCGGTTTGGGCTTTTGTGGGTTTGTTTCGCCGTTTATTCTTCGGCTTGCGTTATTTTTATGCTTTGGTGTACTTCTTTTTGTCTTTTTTGGCTTCTTATGGCTTGGTTTGTAAGTCAAAGATGCCGTAGTTTTTCTTGCTGATTTGCTTGTATCGATCCTGCTTTTATTGTCTTTATAAAATTGCCTGGGGATATTTCCCCTTTCAGTAGACTCGCTAAGGAGAAATATACCCATTAAACCCACTAAAACCTATATGGTCTATTGAGGGCCACTTAGACCTGCCCTACCTCAATTTGACCAATTAAGGTGTAAAGATTCATTATGACCCATCAAGTTTCATTGGGACCCAATTGGATTTGTTAAGGAAAAATAGTCCCATTATACCACAAGATCTAAAGGGCCCATTTACGTCTAATCAAACGTAATGTAACCTATTTAGTGCCATTATAACCCAATTTGACTTGTTAAGTAGAAATTGGCCCATTAAGGACCACTAAGACACGTTCTACCTCAATTTGATCAATTAATGTCTATTCAGACTCATAATGAAACATTCAGTGTCGTTATGACCAAATTCAACTCGTTAAGGAGAAACAAGCTCATTATACTGAAAGACCCAGATTACATAAATGATAAAAGGTTTGTAATACCTCATTTCTATAAATGATAAACAAACCACCAGAAGTTACATTTTTAAACCTTTAGAAAACAAACGGGATATAATATTTACGAGTTTCTAATTCGAAATGTCCGCTTGGTTTACAGGACGTTTCCGTAAGCACCTGTTTTCCAAAATATCCTAAAACGGAC